TGACATGCTTGACAGGAATATTATAGAGAAATCGAATAGCTCGTTGGCATCAGGAGTTTTGGCTAAAAAGAAAAATGGTTCTTTGCGTTTCTGCGTGGACTACAGGTGTTCTAATGCAGCTACAGTCAAAGACACCAACCCACTTCCACGCATCGACGACTCATTAGACAGTCTTACCGAAGCAATGTGGTTCTCAACCCTTGACTTGTGCTCCGGGTATTGGCATCGACGACTCATATAAATTAAAAACAGCATTTGCAACTAAACGTGGTTTATACCACTTTAATGTAATGTCGTTTGGCCTTTGGAATGCCCCGGCAACTTTCGAAAGGTTAATGGACACTGTTCTGAGTGGCTTGCAATGGCATGTCTGGTGTATCTAGATGTCATAATTGTTATCGGAACGTCGTTTACCAACATGTTAGAAAACCTCACACAGGTTTTTGATAGACTGCCATCTGCTTAACTAAAACTGAAAACAAGAAAGTGTCACCTGTTTCATAAGAATGTTGAATTTCTCGGACACGTGGTATCAGAAGAAGGAGTAAGCACTGATCCTTCAAAAATATATGCAGTACAAAATTTGTCTGTGCCTACAAATCTTACAGAGGTAAAAAGATTTTTAGGTCTCTGTAGCTACTACAGGCGTTTTATACATATCTTCGCAGAAAAGGCAAAGCCACTGAACAAATTGACTGAAAAGGAAACAAATTTCAAATGGACAAATGATTGTCAAGCATCCTTTGACTCGCTTCGACATGCACTTATCTCTGCACCAATTCTTGCCCATCCTGACTTTACACAGTCATTTATTTTGGATACAGATGCTAGTGACTTGGCAATAGGGGCAGTTCTTTCAATGCTCTTCCAAAAGAAAAAGCACGAAAATGGCAAAGTTTCTCTGCAAGCTGCTGTGCCATACAATGAAAGACGTACAGTATAAGGACAGTTCCATGATGAAAGAACAAAGAGTCCAGTTTGAGAGCAATCTTTTTACAGAAATGTGCCAGCTTTTGAATATAAAGAAAACACACACCACCCTGTACCACCCCCAGTCGGACGTGATGTTTGAAAGATTCAACAAGACACTAGCTACCATGTCAGCATATGTCAATGAGCACCATACGGATTGGGATGAACATCTCCCATACGTAATGATGACATACAGAGCAGCAGTGCACGAATCAACTGGTGCAACTCCGAACAAATGTTAGGTAGAGAGGTCGCTACACCTCTGGATATTGTATATGAGGTCCATTCTGATATTAAGAGAACACCACAGAATAGATGGGTTTGGAAGTTACAACAAACATTATAGAATAAGCACATGCAGTTGTCAGGGAAATGACAAAAGAGAGTATAGAACGACAGAAGTGGTACCATGAGAGAAAATAAAGCTGGAAGTCATTTAAGCCAGGTGACAGAGTTTACGTTTACTTTCCAAAAACATAAGACTGGTACATCTCCCAAGTTCTCGTCATATTGGCAAGGGCCATTTGAAATTATTGAGAAATGTCCCAATGTTTTTATGAAGTAAATTGTGGACATAGGGGTACAAACCAAGTAATTCATACTGAGAGAATAAGGCCAGTGAAATACCTGGCCTGGGGGCCATAAAACTTAGACGAGCTCACTTTTGATCTTAGTCTCACTTTTTCCAAAGGAATATACAGTGGAAAAGTGAGACTGAGATCAAAAGTGAGCTCGTCTAAGTTTTTTCCCCCAGGCCAGATCCTAAAATTAAAACCTTGCAAGAGAAAAATATTGCAGAAAAAAACAGTGTTTGATTCCTGTGAGATTGCTGAAGATACTGAGGCTACAAATAAAAAGGAGTCTTTTCAGACAGGTAGCAAACGAAAGAGAAGCAGGCCAGCTTATCTCAGTGACTACGTTTCTTTCTGAATATGTAAATAAAAATGAGTAAGGTAGTTTATTACTTCAATGTCTTTAACCGTATTATACTGTTTACCTATGCGAGGACGCATATTTTTTTCAAAGGCGTGGGTAATGTAATGAAATAGAATAATTATGGTGGATTGAAATGTCTCCGTAATCTTCCAATCGAATTATTTTATATTTAACCAATCCTCGTTTATATAACAGCCAATCAGAGTTCCCCAATCATTAACCTATCATTATTAATTAATCATAGGAGAAAAAGTATAAATACAGACACCCATGCAGTATTTGGTTACTTGATCGTTACTCACCGCTTGGGTAACACGTCTCGGGCTAGGTTCTTGGGCTGTGTCGGCAAACAACGGAATTGTTCGTTAGACCACTCACCTCAGGAATCTAGTTCTTTTGTGTCTCAATGACTAGTGTCTTTGTGACTTTTATTTGTGTCTTATACCCCATTCATACAACGAAAATTTGCTTACGTGTGCAAATTTACATATGAGTAAATATACACACGTAAGTAAAAGTAAATTTGCTATATGTTCAGGCGAGATTTATGTACTATAAGTAAATCCTTATCATTCATATAAAATAAGGAGATCTACAGATTCAGAATTGTAGATTTTTTATAGAAAAAGGTTATTTTCTTACTATTTGGGTATAAGACTGACTTTCGAATGTTCCTCAAAGAAGGAAGGCGGAAATCCGATCCATTTATTTTTTGGTACGGGAAAAAAAGCGATCTTAATAGATTTTTGGAAAAATTTACAGAGGAAAAAAATAATTAAATTCATTGTTTAAAATTGGAAAATGTTTTGGCCTTGGTCCTAAAGACTATGGAAGAGCCGATGGGTGTTAAGAAAAAGATGGCTCTTGCCATCTTCTGAATGGCGTCTTTAGCAGAAAAAAGTACAACTGGAAATCTTTTTGGTGTTTGGAAATCTACAGTACATCAAGTTTGCAAGGTCATTATGAAGTATCTGCTTGAATATTATATGTATTTTCCTGGAGAATGAAATGGGCGGTCGATTTAAAAAAATTCAAACAAAACAAATATATGAATAGGAAATAAACACGAATCCCTAGAAATTCATGATGGAATCAGGTGCCAAGGATAGGGAGTGCTTAAAAATTTTTCAACAGGGTTGTTGAAATTCATGTAGCATCAATTTATGTCAGTACACTGCCTTGGTTTAAAAACAAAGAAAGGTAGAAGAAAGTCAATCTAAAATGGTACTGGATGATTGATGTAATGCCTATTCCTATCACAGCTCCGGAGCAAAAGAGACTACTTGAATTGTAAAGGGACTATTATTGATCCCGAAGGGCACATGTTTGCGCGACCACAGCTATATCTTAATAATTTAGAGGCATAAACATAGGTTTGCCAGAAAGAGTGCAAGATGCGCACATTTTTGCAAATTCAAATTTATCTCAGAGGACACTAGAGATATTATTTCAGAGTTGAAAAAGCCATTTGTGGAAAGAAGTATGCTAGAATAACCCGGCGTATCCTTTGAAGACCTTAAAGCAGTACCCTTATCAAAACTCAAATTACTTTCAGCTGTCATTGAAGTACAGCAAAGATGACCATAAAAAATCCAGTTTTTTTCTTTTGCTTTCTAGCCGCCATGTTAACAGACTGATGTTATACACTTTACAATGCATAAACAACCGAAACAACACTTAAAATGGAGATTTATGCAATAAACAAAACAAAATACATACATAAGTAAATTTGCTGCGTGTTCATACGACAAAATGTACATACATGAACTAATACTTTGCGGCAACATGTATGCAAATGTTATTTTGCACCATGTCCTTACCAGGTGTAAATTTACTCAACTGTGCAGAATTTACGTGACATTGTGTGCAAATCAGTTCATACGACAAAAACTGCATATGTGAGTAAATTTACATATGAGTAAAATATACTTAGGTAAGCAAATCATGTCGTATGAATGGGGTATTAGTGACTTTAATTTAAATAATAAAGGTGTCTCTGTGACTTGCTAGGGTGCGTTTTTGTGTAATTGCAAATTGTGTCGGGAAACAACAGAATTATTCGTTATACCACTCAGTCTGGAGATAAAGAGAAATGTTTTATATTTGATTATTGGTTTGATTGTAAGCGATTCCCTCGTTACAGTTCGTTGTAGTTTACTAATCATTACCCAGATAGGACCAAGGAAAAAGTATAAATAGTGAATTTTAGACAGTTCTTCTTTATGTTTCATTGCTATTAAAGTTTATTTTCATTTTATATTATAAACGTAATTCTTAGGAATGAAATCTAAGCGAACTCAATTATTAATCATTTGAACATAGTAAGAATGTTACAGGTCTGAGGAGGAGGGGATTTGACGATTTAATAAAGATACAAGTCTGAGAAATGAGGCCTAGATAATAAACTTTTTGTTCTACACAATGAAGCATTTAAGTACACCTAAATGAAATGCACTCCATGAAAGGCGAATTCAGTTTTTCTGTGTATGAAAAGCCAATTTTAGCTGTACATATTGATAAAAGAATTTGTTGAACAAATATCAAATTTTAAATCATTTCATATGTACAGAAAGTCTGGATTAACAACTTTAAACACAAGCAGAATACACATATTATGAGGGATTTGTGATAACAAAGCAGTGCTTAATGTTAAGGAAGGGCTCTTTAACTCAAATTTATCAATACATCTTTCTTAGAGATTGTTGTTCATATCTCAGATAAAGGAAAATTTCATATTAAAAAAGGAAAATATAATTTACCGTAGGAATCAGACTTGTTTTCTGGTTATCATTGAACAAGTAGTAGTATTTTACAATTGGCATGGACCAATACTTTTTGTATGTTTCTTTTGTTATAAGCCTTTTTGTCTAATATATTTGCATTTTAAATTGCGAGTGTTATCTTCAGTTCTAGCATATCATTAATATAACAGTTTGGTATTATTATTTTTTGGATGTACCTATAAGTGTTTCTTTATTTGACATGTTCGGTTTCATACTCTTGTGCGTATTCCTATCTCGTAAGATTATTTATTTGGTTTAACGTTTCGATTAACACCTTATATAATGATTTTCAATTTTCTAATTCAGGATCCTGATTATTCTGGTTTCCATAGCGACACAATCCTTATTGGCTCGCTCCATGAACAAACAACTGAATTCAGGTAAAGTAGTGCTTCATGTGTATCATAATTATGCCAAAAGTTTGACTGCTCGATGTCAAGAATTTAAGATTTTGAAGACGGCATTTACAATGAAGCGCATTGAAGTGGTAAAATTTTCCGTTTGGATGAAACGTTCTGAGTCATGTTTTGAACGTCAATTATTACAGAATGACACGCCCATTTCTTTAGAAACGTACAAGAAATATTCGTGGTAATGTTTTAGGACACCCCACTCTTTACAAAAAGCAACATCAGTTTCACTGAAATCGAGATTTTTAAAGTTATAAGAGAGATTTAGAGAGTTCCACCTTCTATAAAACAAGTATTGCAACGAATTTGTACATAATTATGAATTTATCTGTTTGTTGGAGTTTCCATAACACATGTATTGGTCGAACACGTGTGTACTTTGTGTTTATGTAGACCGTCAATTTGATTGGATATTATATTTTTAGAATACCTGTTCTACAGGTATTCCAATGAACCATGCGACCGATTTTTACTTTCTAAAGAAATGGGCGTCATTGTATGACAATCAACGTTCTAAAGATAGCTCAAAACGTTCCATTCCAACGGGAAATTTTACCACTTCAATGCGCTTCATTGTATTTTGACGTACGCTATTGGTCCTATCCCTAATACCAAAGGGGGTATGAATTCAAAAATTTATGCTCAATTTCCCCTTTGCCACTAGTTTCTACATAGCAAAATTGGTTCAGCTATTTCAGAAGCTGGAAATTTTCAAAAATTTTAGAATTGGACCTGACTCACGACGGACGAAACGAGATTGAAAGAGATCACCTGAGTGACCTTAAAAAAAAACCATGAACAGGGACATAAAAATCATACCCTTTACAGGTATGACTGTGGTGTCAAGCTTTTATTCTTTGCCGTTAGAATCAGTTATGATATATCCTTGATCAGGCAAATTATAATTATTAAATTTATTATTACCAATATAGGCATCAGTTTAAACAAAATCAACAACCAACAGGAACTAGGCATACCTGGTTCACCTCATTCAAGCAAAGAGTCTGCTCCCCAAAAGGAAGAATCAATACACACAAACTACGACTCCACGGATGAAATCATAGGACCATTTGATATGGAAAAAGGAGCCCTATCGACGCCGCCTTTTTTACCTATTGAATTAGAGGAATCGGAATTAGATAAGAAGCTGCTAGGACTGCCGGGATGGGAGTACGTTATGGTTTCTCTGGTTGTTGTCGCTGCTGTTGGAGTTGGAGGAAGTGTGGCAATCGTCTGCAAAAAGTGTTGTGGTTTAGCGGGAAGAAAAGCTAATAATAAAGCTGAAAATTGCTGATGTTGACAGAAAAACGATCGCAAATTGGTTATTAAATTAACTTATTTTAGAGTGTGTTTTTAAAAATTTTTAAAATTAGTAATTCCAGTTGTTCATTTGATTTTTGTTGTGCTGCTTATGTTATACGTATATGCCTTATCATTTAAAATTGCGTAAATAAAGACGTCTATCTAAACTAGAGGTACTGTGAGCAATGAGCTCACTAAATGATACCCCCCGCCTCCCATATGATTATAACTGATGACAAAGTCCATGTTTTGCTCTGACCGGGAAACCCAAAATGTGTGTCGGATCAAAAAGTAAAATAGGAGGTGCACAATGGCAATATATAATAAAGATTCTGTGAAAGTTTCATTAAATTTCACTCATTGGTATAAGAGGAGTTGCGGATAAGAGATAGGTACCCTAAAGCGTAACAGACGGACGGACGGAAATCCCGATTACTATATACCCTCCCACTTTTCAAGCGGGGGGTATAATAAAAACT